CGGTTGTACAGCGTGTAGCAACACCTTGAATTACTTCCATAAGTGTCTTCACCCTCTCGTGCTCTGTTTTTGTGAGGTTGTCTTCTCCATATTTGTTGGTGATCTTGTAAGATAACTTACAAGATCACCAACAAATATGGAGAAGACAACCTCACCACCGTCACCTAAGGACAATATGCATGTCGCTGTTTTCTGCTCTCATGCGTGATTTCCTGCCAGCTCTAGCAGTGAGCGCGAGTAGCCAGTGCAAAATATCACGCACGCATTTTCATCATCATCTGCATTGAGAACAAAAAAGTATTTTATGGGGCCAAAAAAATCAAAGGTTCGTCTTTACTCATATATCCTAGTCCACATGATTTCCCAATAGTGTCAAAAGATTCCATCATGCACAGTTATTATTCTTTCACACCGCACTCTGATCCTTAGCTTGCAACTTCACACCAAGTGACGAGCAACTTCTTTTGAAATGCATGTTAATGCAAGTTCAATTCTGCGAAAACCGCAGCACACACATCTGCCCCTTCTCATCGTTATGTTCACATGTGGACTGGCAGCTTTGGCTGGCGATGCACCTTTCTAGCGGACGACAACCAGTGACAAACTGAGGGGCTTGCGTTCTCACCATCTGATATGTGTGTGCCTGTGTGTGTGCGCATGTGTGTATGAGGGGGGGGAGAGGGTACTCTTCCTCTTGTGGTGTCCACAGGACAGAACAGGTAGTTGCAGTTGCAGTGAAGGAACACTTGTTTCCAGAGCAAGGAGCCATGTTTCCTCTGTTCTTCCTTTTTTTCTCTTTTGATTAGAGGGTTTTTAGCAAAAAGAGGGACTCTGGGGTTAGTCCTTCCAGAGTGCTTTGAAAGGAATAGGGGATAAAGTTTGGTAGAATGCTTACATTAACAAGAGTCGCTGCAGGCCAGTTCTTCGGCTACAGCCCCCAGCCAGCTCTAGTTTGGTTTGAGAGGTTTTTCAGAGAGAAGAAAAAAAAAACCTAATTGAACAAAAGGTAGCACAGTGCATTTATACACTTAGAAAAAAACTGTGAATGCCGTTTTTAGAGAAAAGCGGCCACTGTAACCGTAAACGCCATTGAAACATGCATGTGAGCTCCTAGGCAGCAATACTAAAGTGCACCACTAGCACGTCTAGCACAGCAAAGACAGTAGTAGCACTAATATACCGGCTCTTGAGGTATAAAACACAGGGTCTTTTTTGTGCCTCTTCCCTGCTGCAGCATCATGGTCATATCCTATCACTCTTGCTATTGCCAATTACATGGCCGTTCCACTTTTTTCTTAAATAAATATCGTCGCTGACCTACGCAGTTCTCACGGGAACGTGGGCAAGCAGAGCACACTGCAGCCACTAGCGTCTTTTTGTGCAATGAGCCAATCGGCTGTTACTGTAGTTAGAATACATCACTTCTCTTTTTGGGTCGACCATATGCTGCTCCACTGGCACTTAACTGAACATTATTATTTGCCATATGCTTTTTGTGTTGACAACGTGAAGTGTATTGACCTGCCACTGGCTTGTCAAATTTTGTGCATCACTATATATTGGATGTAGTTTCATCATTATTAAGCGTTGTCCCCACCACGCTGCTATTCAATCTGCCAGAGAAACTGCTTTGTGTTGGACCATGGCAGCTGTCATATGCAAGCAAAAGATTTTAGTTCACTGCGAATTTTGATCATTCTTGCCTTAGTGATAGAGCATAGTAGGTGCAACAGACCTTGAGCTGTGGTGCACTTGAATTGGCATTGAATTGACCTAAGAAAAACAAGGCCTCAGATTGAAGCTGTACGACTTGATTATATGCTCTACAGACTAGAGAGTACTTCATAATCACTGGTGCTATATGTCACTCCTTATTGTAGAGACACTAATTACAACCTCAGCTGTGAAAGCCCAAACTTCAGAGTTGGCATAGAGTGCACCATGTGTTGAGTGTCACCAAGTAAGCAGTTTCTTATTTCAATTCTTAAATTTTGTGGTGGGCTGTTTTGGGAAGATTACTATGCTTTTATCTGACATAGGGAAACTGACAAGGTTGTTGAATTGCTCTTTCCATTTGTGTGGTGTTGATTTGGCCTGTGTTATTTGTAAAAAATGTGTACGTGCTTTAGTGCACACAATTGAACTCACAATCTGTGTCACCTCTGTTTATTAAACGTGTTTTTTTTTTCTTTCCTGCGAGAACGAAATTGCATGACCTTTTTGAACTCAACCTTTTGATGTATTAGCGTTAGCAGCAAAAAAAAAAAACAGCAGAGAACACATGCTTCTGCATTTGTAATGAGCCCATTAAGCACTGCATATCAGAGTTTCCAGACTGAAAAGACAAAAAAAAAAGAAGGCTGGAAGAATGCAGAAACCAGCCTACTTGAGCCAAGCGCAGTAAAAGTAGCAAAAAGTATCCAGATGTGTGAAAAGAACTGCAATGTTTTTAAATAACTGAATGGTAAAGCCCTTTAGAGAAGAGATAAATAAGTATTAGCATAAAGCCTTCAAAATGAAATTGTGAAAATTCAAGTATATGTTGTTGACTTAAGCAATCATTTCACGCAGGATTTTCAAGTTCTTTAGACTGTCACAAAAATGATACACTCTTCAAGCGTCTTGCATGACTTTCTTAAAGGGTACTGACACAAATACTTTTTCCTGCTTTCTCCATCACTGAAAGGTTGAGCCCTCACCAGCCTAAAAAATGTGCTCTGTAAGCGTGAGTGCATTCTGAAAGAATGATTACAGTATGTTTTTAAAAACTCGTTTGAGTTCCTGCTGTACCCTTACATCAGAACATGGTGTGAACTCCTTGTCATGTCCTCGTGCAACATTTTTTTGGCTGCTCATTTGACATTTATGACATTTTTTTGGCTGCTCAGCACAACGTGCAAGTGGCCATTTTGAATGTTTACGATGGCACACAAGCGTTCCCATTGCATGTTCTGATATCTGACATCATCACTAGCCATGCTAGATAGCGAAGTCATCAGTATTGGCCCTGTAGCCTGATGTCATCATAGTGTTTATGTCAGAAGGTGTGCTTTGCGAAAATCTGCTTGAATGTTATGATGAAGTATCTGCATTTCCTGAGCTTCATCCTTGCTCTGTGTACAGGAAATTTGTACGGCAGCATGAACTCACCTGTGAAAATTAATGTCTGTACCTGTTTAAAAGAACTGCAAGTAACAGCACTCTGGCAACAATAAAAATGACTGTGGCATGAGTGAGCTCTGAATCGTGGTCGCTAGGTTTGAATTTTGATGTATAAACTGTAGTCACTTTTGTGATATGTATGGTGTTAAAGCCTGAGAACTTGCTGTTCTTGATTTGCAGTCCCTGTACCAAAACCTTAGTTGCGCAAGAAGTTCATCGGATGCAGGATCTCTATGGTCTTTGAGGGCTGAGCACCCTAGATGTGGAGTGCTTTCGATTATTCTGTCCACTTCTAGTTATTGTCTGAAGGCGTGTTCAGCAGTAGGTGGTTCACTAGCCCTTTGGACTAGTTTTCCCCAAGCCCCAGTCAAGTGTTCAAAAGCCTTTCTAGTTTGTGCAACCAAGTGGGAAGTTCAACTTAAAGAACTGGGAACATGCCTTGGCTGTCATGTTTTGGCTCTGCATATTCGAATGCCAGTGGCTTTGACATCTAGAAATAATAATAATCATAGTCTAGTTCAAGTAGACTGAAAAGTAGCCATGTGGACAGTCTTTTCTGATGTAAGCAGCTCAAGAAAGTTGCCAAGTTGGTGCGAAGTAGCCAAACCTGGCAATCCTGTTGCATATGCATCTTCATTATTTCCTTACGTTGGGCTCATTTTAATCGTAAGCCGTAATTGGGCTGCCCCAATTCTGCATTGAGGCTCAGGGGAAAGGCAAGCTGTAGTAAGACATGCTCGTGGCTTAAGCCCTGTATACCTCATGAGATGCTGGCCTCAAAAAACGTTTTTTGTGTTGCAGAAACTCGCTGTGATCTCAGAAAACAGGGTAAAAGTCAGAACCGAACCTAGGCATTCTTTGTGGTAGCCAAATCTTCTACAACTAAGCTACTCCACTGCTTGAATGCTTTGGACAAAGACTCCATAAAGGCATCCTGTTGTAAATCATTTTTTAAGTTTCCCATCGACAGCAACGACAAACTTGAAGGCAGAAGCTGTATAGAAACTTATCCATCAGTGGCAATCTTCGAAAATTATTTTATTCCATAAAACAAAAATTGTAATGATAAAACTTGCCATATAAAAAGAATTGTTGCTTTGCTTTTGATTTAGGTATAAAGTTGATTTTTAATTGGACCACCGCACAGTGCAAATTGCACCTGAACATGGACAAAAATGATGATTTTGTGAACTTCCTGATTTTTCCTGTAATATATAGCTTCTGTGGAGTAATAATTCATTACTCTAATATCCATAGAGTGCAGTATTGCCATCAAAAAAAAAATGCAAACATAACACATTTTGGGTAAATTGTTGGGGGCATATGGGGCAGAAAAATTGTACTAATATTGCTCAGCTTCAAATACCTTACACAAGCACTTTTAATTATTATGTAGACCAAATTTGGTATAGACAGAAAAGGTGGTACTTCTAAAAGAAATTTTCTCACAAACAACACCAATACGACATTCTGGGAAGTTCAGAAGGCACCTGCATGGCCAAAAAATTTTTCCTCTCGAAAACATTCTAGTAATTCACTGCTTTTAATGCAGTAAGTGAGCACAATTTTTTTAATACATTTGAGATAGTTGTCAAAATGGCTGGGACGTCTGGCATAGAATGACCATTTAGTGTTTCTTTAAACACGTGGTAAATATGGTTTTCACATATCGGCTTCTTAATAACAATAGAAAAAGAAAAGTGTTTGCATGAGGCACTAAAGGCATTGTTCTAATGGCGAACATGTGTTCTTCCTTAATGCAGCTCATTTGTGCTGTGGCGTACAGCTTGGCTCCTTGGTAAAACTAGAGTGTGACAGCTGCTGAATTTTTCTTGCAGGCAGAGCTGCTGCATATGGATGACATGCTGGCTCCCCTCGAAGACCTGGTGTCCTTTTTGCAGCCTCACTTCAGTTCACACGGGTACTACGGCAAGAAGCTCTTCTTCCTGTCGACAGGTCTGCATCGGCTGTTTCCCAAGGGAGTCCGCCGCCTCATCCTTCTGGATGTCGATCTCCATCTGCGCTCGGATATTGCCCTCTTGCACAAACACTTTGCCCAGTTTCCTCCGGGTGCGATAATGGGGCTTGCACACGAACTTCAGCCCGTCTATCGGCATTGCTTGCACAAGTACCGGCAGCAGCATCCAGGCACCACATGTGGCGAACCTGCGCCACGCGGAAATCCTGGGTTCAACAGTGGAGTTTTGCTGATCGATCTCAAAGCTGTTCAGAGCTCCTCCACCTACAAGAAGTTCCTCACAGCTGATGGGGTGCAGTGGCTGGTAAAAAAATACAGCTTTGGAGGCAATCTTGGAGACCAGGACTTCTACTCCCTCCTAAGCTGGGAATTCCCTGAGCTATTTTATGTACTACCATGCACATGGAATCGGCAGCTGTGTGAGTGGTGGCGGCATCACGGATATGCGGATGTCTTTGACGAGTATCACAGGTGCAACGGTACCGTTCACATTTATCACGGCAACTGCAATGCTTCCATACCGTCAGTAAGGTGACCCACTATGAAGGCGGGGTTGTTTCGGGTGTCACGCTCAGCATGAAAATCCTGGTACAGTTCCCGAATGCAAGCACTATTTAAATGTGGAGTGGCAATGGAAAAAGATTTTCACAAGTCACTGGACGCCCAGGCAGTAAAGTTGCGAGATGCGGTGCTGTTGTTTCCAAGCTCACCGATAGTGAGAGCTCCAAGCACATTCCATTTTCTGAAGCAGGTATGAACGGCAAAAAGCAGCTAGTTTTGATGTTTGCCCATCTGAAAGCCCACATCTTAAGTCAATAAGCATTTGGCCGTTCCTTATTGGCACACATAGCTAAGCACATTTTTTTCTTTTTTTTTTCACTGAAGTAATGAACCACAATATATGCTATCGCAGTTGTCCTAAAAAAGCTCTTTGGTACAGAGCTTTTCACAAGCCACACCCATTCTGTAGAATGAAATGTGACTGGCACTCTTGCTATCAGTATGCTTGGGAACAGCAGCATCGTGTGTCGTAATTTTGCTGCTCCTGCCACCAACCATCATCAGCCTAACTACACCCTTTGCAGGACAAAGGCCTCTCCCATGTTCCACCAGTCAACTTGGTCCTGTGCTTGCTGCTGTCACTTAATATCTGCAAACATCCTAACCTCGTCGGCCCACCTAACTTTCTGTCTCTCCTTTGTGTGTTTGCTTTCTTTGAAAATCCTTTCAGTTACTCTTAATGACCAGCGGTTATTCTGCTTACGTGCCCGGCCCGTGTCTATTTGTTCTTCTTGATTTTAACTATGATATCCTTAACCCTGGTTTGTTCCCTGACACACTCTGCTCTCTCTGTGTCTTTTGAGGTTACACCTATAATTTTCTTTTCCATCGCTCACTCTGTCATCCTCAAAGTAAGCTTAACCCTCTTTGTGAGCCTCGAGGCTTCTGCTCCATAGTGAAGTGCCGGCAAGATGCTGCGGTTATTTACCTTTCTCTTGAGGGTAGTGGCAATCTACCAGTTATCATTTGAAAATACTTGCCAAATGTGCTCCACCTTAATTTTATTTTTCTAGTTACTTCAGTCTTATGGTTCGGCTCCCTGGTTACTACCTGTCCTAAGTAGACGAACTCTTTTACAAACTTCAAGTGCACCACTACCTATCTCGAACGGCTGTTGTCTTCCGAAGGAGTTGTATATTACTTTCGTTTTCTGCATATCAATTTTAATACCTACCTTTCCACTCTCCTTGTCTAATTGTTCTTGTCTCCTTGTCTGCCACCTGTAACTTGTTTTAATTTTTAGATGCGGAGCATTCTATGTTGAGGACTTTGTCCGTCCCTCCTTTTCACCGCGTCCACAGGCTCACTATGCATCTCTCTCTCTCTCTCTCCCAAGTCGGCGGTGAAGGCAGGGAAACGCTTCCTTTGTCTCAATTGATCCACGTTTTCATTAGACAAAACATGTCTGCTTTGGTTAGCACGAGATCAGGTTCGATGTTTCTCGCCTTTGCATTGAGGGACCGGCTGTTTAGCATTGCTATAATCATGGTCACCGGCAGCGTTAGTTGGGTACAGGTTCTAGATGTTGGCACACCTGCTTAAGGCGACGTAGACGAGCTTCTGTGGGTGCCATTCAACATCTCGTCGCTGCTTCCCATACAGACATGGTTCTTTTCTGCGGTAGATGGCATAACTAGGGAGGGGGGGGGGGGGGGCAAAATTGCTTATTGTCTAGTGTCCAGGGCATTCCATCCTTTCAGCGTAGCCAGCACAGCATATCCACCGATGGACGCTTTGCCCCACTCATCATCATTCACTTCATCCTTCCAGCGTAGCCAGCACAGCATATCCACGGACAGACGCTTTGCCCCACTCATCATCATTCACTCCGTGGATATGCTGGGATTTTCTTTTTCCATTGCAATGCTACCAGCGTTATCGCGAGAGCTACCATGCATTATAGCGACAGCTTCTGTTGCGCTGCAGTAAGCTTATTCACCTGAAGTATGGAAATGCACTCGAGGGTGTGTTTCTGTCTAGTCACAGCTTATTTGTTTACAGATAGTTCTTGTTCTTTGTTGCCCTTGCCATATTTTATGGTTGCAGGTATATCTCTTCAATAGAATAGAGCAGCTAGAACATATTACTGAGTAGTACTGAAAATTGGGCAAGTTGGTAACGATTCATGGTTCAAGGTAAACTTCAAGGTGATTCATGGTTCGTTTTTCCCGCCGTTTACCTCAAACCAAGAACTTTTTACTTGCAATTTTTGTGCATAATGTTAACTGGCAGATCAGATCAAAAGTTTGATTTTCCCCTTGTTAATTTTTGTGTGTTGCAGCTATATCATAGAATTACGGTAATGCCAGAGGTTTGTCTCATTAATTCAGCAGCTTCGTTAACATGATATCGACATCTTAACTTGATTCGCTTTGTTCCTTACTTCTTTAGGTATTTATTGTGTATCTATATGATCAACTGAGGAGATGTCTTATGTTGAAGTGGCAGCCACATCCATAGCCGTCATTTCTCTTATTAGTGTTGTGTACTCACATGCTATTCTGAAGAAAACAAACAGCAACAAAATTCAAGAGATCAAGAGATGCACAAATTGGAACGAAATGAAAGCGAGGAAATGTCACAACTTGGTAGTGTGAGGTTGTGTGGTCCCTATCTCACGATCAGGTCGTGGAATTGAAGATGTCTGCAAGATTTACTTGAAGGACAGCTTTAACTGTTGTAAATGCAGCACCTTGGCCATTTGTGGCAAGGCTCTTTGTAGCACTAATTTTTCAGCGAAACTCGGTGGTTGACGGTTTTCTGCAGCTATACTTATGGTTAACTTTCTCTAGCAATGAAAGAAAGCTACCTATACAGAAAGTGTTTACAAGGGAGCTATTGAACAGAAATAATCATTTCCCTTTGAAATAGCCTAAACTTTGAAATACAGCAATCTTAAGATCAAAAAATATTAAAAGACCCCTCACATAAACTTGAGATGCTTGTGTTGTTTGAGAATCCTTCATGCGGGGGGGGGGGGGGGGGGCACTTTTGACCGATTATTAGTAATGAGCATTGCCTATAAGATATTTTAATTTGGTTTTAAAGTATGCGTGCATGTTCGTTCGATTATTCAGGCGCAATTGACATTTTCAGGGGTTTGACATAGGTATGGGCCTCCTGTGGACATTGCAAATGTCAAGCAGATATTGTTGGTGTCAGAGAACATTTGCGGGGCGCGCATAATGCCCCGACTGGCACCCGGCAAGGGCCATTGCTCGTCACCCCTCTCGCTAGGTTGTCCGGCTGGTCTCAAGTTGGTTTTGGCTACTTAAGCCAGGAATGTCTTTTTTTTTTGTTTTCAGAGGGGTACACTCAAAGCATCCGCATCATTTCATTCTTACGACTCGTGGGTCCCCCTATTTGAAAACAGCACTTTCAGCGTCATCCGAGCTTGAGCGCACGTAGTCTCAGGCACTACCCCGCTGCGGGGCGCTAGTTTCTGATTGTATTTAGGCGGGCGTTTCGAACCGACACATAATCGCTCTGAAAGAACAACGCTAGTGTAAGTTGTAAGGTTCATTGGAGGATTTACAATTTAATTTCCGCATTACCTAATGCAGAGCTACAAATCACTGTGAAAGAGTCGCAAACAAAATTTTCGCTGTCAGGGGTCCTTGAAGTACCGCACCGAGTGTGACTGCTGCTTATCTTCCCTGCAATTGAGCAAATGTAAAACCAACGCGTATGTGGAACATATGTTGCTTCATCATCTGTTCCAGCAAGCTGGAAACACTGTCAAACTAAGACCATTGAAGCAACGAAACAAGTGTGCGGGAGCTCTGTCCTTGCAGCTTCCTGTTTATTCCAACTACGAGTGGCACTAGTGGAGGCAGCTGCCTTCCTGAACCACCAAACTGCCTCTCATTGCCACTGGAGTGCCGCAAAGCTTACACACTAGCTTGTTTAGCGACGTCTGGGACCCCAATCCCTTTCACCCAGGAATATAATGTGGCACTGTTACACGTGTTTGCAATAGTAATTTAGCAATATAAATGTTCGTACTTTATTCATTTACGTGAAAGCTTGTCACTGACATTACGGTAGTATAGGCTTAGCTAGTTAGTTGGGAATTCATGGTGAAAATATCATGGAGCACTCGCAAGTAGGACAAAGGACAGAAGAAACAATGCTTGTTCACGTTGTTTCTTCTGTCCTTTCTTTTACTCATGAGCTCTGCATGAAATTTACATCACGTTAAGTGACCTTGAGACAACTTGTTGCTTAGTTTGAAATGGTAATGTTTGAGGCGCTTGTGTACCAAAGTTCTCTAAAGCATAAGAATGGGATATTAAGCGAGTTTGTACGCATTCGTTTTTATAAATCAAGATTCTCTAAGGCATCCACTGGTATGTCATTTTTCAACATGTAGACAGCCTTACTGTCTGTAACATGCCGGTGCCGCACTTTCGATAGAGGGAAAAGTGCTTGAGGCTCGTGAACTTAGATTTAGGTGCATGTTAAGGAACATTAGATGTTCAGAATTTTTGCAGCCCCCGCTAAGGTATCTCCCATAATCATACAGTGGCTTTGGCGCGTAAAAGCACAAGAATTATTATCGATTTCTGTTCAAAACACAATAACTGTCGCGTTTGATGCCCGGGTTTGGGGCTTTCTTATAGCATAGTATTGTGCCAGCTGCGGTGCCAGTTATAGCTAGGTGCTTTCCTGTTTATTGACACTCATGGCAACGACAAGGCATTTGGGTTCTTAACTGTGAGATAAAATACAATTTATAAAATAAAAAAAAAAAGTGTGTCCACTTCTTCTGGCACGAAATCTTATGTAACAGTGATTCTCAAAAAGCAATAGCTTGTGCATGAATATTAAACCTACATTTCTGCTCTCTGTGTACTCATACTAGTTTGCCCTAAGCAGGATGGCAGATGTGGAAGGTGCAAATCACAATAATTCATGTCAATATGCAGGATGATGACTTTCCTGCCACTTAGTTTCAGTGCCACATAAGCCTTCTTTCACGCTGCAGAAGTGCCTCAGCTTCAACAGTGCTGCCAGCAAAACTATACTTGTAATGTTTACACCAATGTTATATATATATAGATGGGCCTGCTTATAGAATTTTGGTATATTTTCTGTAGTGCTTGTAGAAATTGGCCCTTAGGATGTGGTTTGCTGACTCACTGCCCTTTAGAGGCGTTACTAATTACATATGTATATCACTTCGA